ACAATGTGTGAGGCAACCCGGAGAGCTGCTGCTGTGACCCCTCGGTCCATGCAGCTGGGGTGGGGGGGTGGGGTGTCCTTTCTCTGCGTGAGTTATTAGGGCTCCCTGTCTGCCGCTGTGCCTGTGTGTTCCTTCACGCACGTGGAGACAAGCTTTTTAATCACATACATAACCTAACTTTACTACCTAGTGGTTTCCACCGTGTCAGTCTTTTTGCATAAAACTGACACCGCTCTACATGGTGTTGTATCCTGGACTGTGCTCCAGTAGATCAGCTGATGGATGCTGTGGAAGAGTTCCCAAATTCTGACCACTGCATCTTCAGGAGGGACAGGAAGTTCTCTAGCTGGTTCCCTTGGTGGTGTGCCTGCCAGCATGACAGGGTCATCTTCAGGTTTGTGCAAGTGCAATACCAAAACCTAGAAACAGGCAGATCTGCTTTGGCTGCCATTTTGGCTAACACAGCTTTTACCTGTATTTCGCGGTATCCTGCGTGTGCACGCACATACACACACACAGCAACGGGCACCTCTCCATTCTTCACTTTGAACCAGTTCTTCAGTGGATACATGCTTGGAGAAGCCCAGCAACTCAAGAGCAGCTCTTTTCCCTGTGAATAGGTTCCCTGATGGATTTTTATCTGTCTATCTGTGTCACAAAATGATCTGTGCAGACAGGTTTCTCGTCTGGTACAAGCTGGCCTAACTGTGTTGCTGTTTCTGCCTCTTTGCAGACTGAGGCTGTTGGAAGACGTGATCCACGTTACTTTTTTAAAGGAAAACTATTGTTTTATACCATTTTTGTAAGTAAAGCCATATGCCACAAATAAAGTGCTATATTTTAAAAGTTGTCTATATTTTAGTAACCGAGTTTGTTTTGAAGGGCAAGCATTGTTTATGGGCTCCTCTGGTATTTTCTAGAGGTCAGTGAAGCCCATGTTCAGTGATGATTATGAGCCTGAGCCCTCCACCTGGTGGAAGAAAGCTAACAAACAGAACCCAAATTCACACTGCAAGGCAGGAAACAGAAGTCCACAATCTGGACTGGTAACGACAAAAACAGTGTTAGAAGCTACAGGTTGAATGGAGTGTTCCAATGGGCTTCTGTATGGCTGAGTGCACAGCATTAGGAGTAGTCAAATGCAACCAGAAAACTAAGACTGCAAAAGAAAGGATGTGAAGAGCATGTTGGAAAGGATGCATAAGGACAGGAAAACACATTTGCAGGTATCAGTTAGGAAATCAGTGAGGAGGACCAAGATATAAAAGGCACACTTGGGGACCAGGTCAGTTAATTTTTGCACTAGTCTTTATGTTATGGGGGATTTCCACATCTGATATAGTCCTAAAGTACCAGGAGACCTGGCTGGATGATTCAGACATGAAACTGCCAAACTGCTCATCAGGGTGGGTAACCTGCCACTACAAACAGCCACTGAGCCAGAAGGCTGGTGAGTTGTCGGCATTGACACCCAGTGTAGCTACAAAAAGGGCCCCGGAAAGGATCCTGGAAATTACAGACTGGTGAGTCTGATTCCCATCCGTGAGAAGGGGGCAGCATGTGTAATAATGAATGAGATCTCTAAGCACATGGAGAAACGTGACCCACCGGGAGAGTGTTAGCACAGCTTCTGTCAGCAGAAATAACGTCTCACTGAAGGCTGAACACCCCTGAGGGGTCAGCATGCCTGGTGGTAGAGTCAGGGGGAGGCCTGCACTTCCAAAGAGCCTTTGACAGGTTCCACAGAAAAGCTTACTGGAAAGAACTAGTCACCAGGTGGTTAGAGGAAGAACTGGGCACAAAGGCGTAGGTAGGAGTTGAAGGGCAGGAGTCAGTGGTCATTTTTTCAGTGGTGATGGAGAGGAGTTGGCTGTGGGGTGCCTCAGAAACCATTGCTGGGACCAGTTGTGTGCATTTATCACATTTATCTGGAGAAGGGAGGGAACTCACCATGTTCACATATGCACCTAAGCTATGTTAAGTAGTCACACCTATGCTGATTCCAGAAGGATCCTCTCAAAATGGAACGGGCAGAAGAGCGGCCACTTAAGTCCACTGTAGATGTAACAAGGTAACAAGGTAAGCCTCTAAGGAAAAATAATCTAAACCAGGCCGACAAGGTGCTGAGTGCGGTATGGCAGTTAAGTTGAGGGCAAAACTCTGAAAGCCTCTGCAGACAGAGCTCTTCAATCTTTGGCTCTTTTGGCATTCCAGATGATGCTTGGAGCATGCTGGAACAGGCTCTGTAAAGAAGCAGACCCCACTGTGCCTGGTTTCTGGCTCTCCCATAAAGGCAGGGAATGAAGTGAGTCAGCATTCCCAGAAACACTAGGTTTAGTCGCTTCCAAGCCAAAGCAGCCTCTGTGCTCATTGGGTTTTTGGGGAACACCTATTGATTCAGGCACTTCCCAGAGGCTTCTGAAGCCCATTGACCAGACCCCCAAAACACAGTGAGATTTGGGATCTTCAAAATAGATTTAATACCCTCTTCATTCTGTGCCTGTAGCTCTTCAGGGCAGGAACAGCACATCCATGGAGGGTGTGCATGCTGTCAAGCAGCCATACAGAAAGCTGTGCACAGTGAGAGCATAAGGGAAGGCTGGGGTGCTGCTGCACTTGTGCAAATACTTAATGCAATTGGTCTTTGTTACAAACTGGGTTATTGCCACCAGCCCAGGAGCTCGCTGACATAATCTGGAGCTCTGCTGGCTTTTTCACCACCTGAACACGGTGCAAAGCCAGAGCTAAATTACAGGACTTATGTGGCCAGTGTTTGGCACAGTCCTTGCCTTTTGCTTTGCTCAAAAAGCACGTTTGTCTGCTTGTAAGTTAATTAGAGCTCATTTCTACAATGGCAGCACTGGCAAGAGCTGAGTGCCTCCCTGCTGCTGCTCTGCTTGTCCTTCTGCTGTATATGCAGGAGCCAGCTTTGAGACAAGATGCCAAAACCACCAAGAAAAGCTGTGCCCTATAGCGCTGTCTCCTCAGGGCCCTACAGAGTGGCACATTCTATCTTAGATGTGAGAAGCAGCCTGCTGCGAGCCGGCTGGTAGCTTTCATGGCGTAAAATGCAGGGCCTCTTCATTTGGTGCCTAGACACCCTTTCAAGAAGGCAATACTGCCATCTGTATGCTAGTAAAGTACTGGACTGATCCTGGGGCTGTGCCAGAGGAGCAGCAAGGAGAGCTGCTAGTCACCTTCAAACTGGGGATCCATAGGAGTCACTCTGCAGTGGACACAGCTTAGGACCCAGGATACACACACAAACCTCCATGCTACTGCAAGAGTGCCCTGCTTGACCACACACTTAGTGCATCACTGCCTGACAGGAGCTTTTTATTGCCTGCTCATAAAATTCCTCAACTCCCGCCCCCACCCCCCAAAGTCACAGTACTGTGAGAATGCATCACCGCACAGTTTATTTTCCACACTGATTTTCAGTGAGGATGCTTCACTGTACTAGGAGAGGAGTTCAGATAAGGACCATGATATACAATTTGTTGTAGCTCCTGCCTCATCTAGTTTTCATAGCTCAGACACGCTGACATGTTTGCCGAGAAAGCAAACGTTTCCATATTACAATATAGGCTTTTGCTTCACTTGCTTGTTAAGGCAGTTGTTTGAAGAAAATGGTGCTAAGTATGGTGTGTACATAGCACTGCCTCAGATTAGTTCATTAGAGACCGTTTAAAAAGAGCAGTGGCCTGTGGTCCTCCTGCTCCTAGACTGTCTATGCCATACGATGGTGCTGCTCTAGCAGGGTTTTCAAACCATCTGTTGCTCTGCCTTTCAGTCCCCTCTTTGACAGCCTATACACATGCCTCCAGAGACAAGGGCACTGACTCTCCATCTCTCCCAGCCTCTGTTGCTTCCCACTCCTTGCATTCCTGATGTCTAGGAAACGCTCTTGAGCAAGGTGCAAAAGTTCAGCAGAAAGGGTTAGCAAACCTCTCCTTCTTCCCAGAGAAGCATCCTTCCCTACCGCTACTGAGTTTTCCTCGTCTTTCCTTCTCACCTTTCCTTTCGTCTCCTCCCCATGACACGGGCAGGAAGAGGCAGGGCTCCGAGTCCCACTAGACTGCCCACAGCAGTTGTTGTAACTCACACCTGACAGTCCCCTCAGCCTGACTTGTCTGCAAGCAGCCCTGTGTTCCCTGGGTGAACGGGGCTTGCTCTCAGGCTCCGTGCACACAATGCCTGGGGCATCTCTCTGGGCCCAAAGACTAGATTTCAGTCTTAGAGCCCTCACAGCCAAGTCCATGTCTTGACATCTTTTTCACCGGTGAAGAACTCTGCTGTGTTATTGAGAAGGCAAATGATTGCTTTTCAAAGTGCCAGTGCTGATGGTAAGAGACACATTGCAGATGATCATTTCCCCCGTTGGACTAAATCAGCACTCGTTTTCCCAGAATCAGGGAAGCTGGTCTCTGGTATTGGCCAACAGGTTCTAGTGCACACCGCAGTGACATCAAGAGAGGCTATTAACATTCTCCTCTCTGCTGCAAGTGGCTACAAATCTTGGAAAGGAGTATCAGGACTTGCTTGGTTGGCTGGGCACCTATCTCTGCTCACTGAAGCATGCAGGAAGAGGCTTTGCAATAGCACTTAATTTTTGGTCCAAAAAATTATGGCACTCTCAGAGTGGACCATGTCTGCTCCCCTTCCAGTACCCCAAATCAAGCATCCAAAACACAGCAGCAATAAGCCAGAACTATAAATAAACTAATTATACGTCTCTCAGAATAGTGCTTCATATCAGTCTAAGTCAGAGCCACTGAGCTCTGATACACAAAAGACATCATAATTAGAATTGAAAAAATAAGAAAAATGATAAGTTCCAGATTAGCTCCCTGAACCAGTTCACTCTTCAAAAGTTTTGAGAACAAGGTGAGTCAAGAGCTGGGCGAGTCAAGAGATTCCCAAATCCAGTGCGTGAGCCCCAATATTGCACATCACAAGTGCTGTTGTCCTACACATCTGTAAACTGGGCAGAAAAACACCCAGCTACTGCTTAACCCTCTCAGGGAGCCAAACACTGGGTGAGGCAGGACCAAGCTCTCCTGATGCCTAAGCTCAGTGCCTTCTACTGCCTGAACCTTCTCTCCCTCTGGGGACATCATCTCTGAGACTGCAGGGTGTCTGAGAGTGGGATATGCTTCTTCCTGCATATGGATGGAAGAACTATGGGGCCAGAAGAGAAAACAAGACAGGGAGGCTGAGAGTTAGGAGACAGGTTGAGAGTTTTTATCCTAGACTCTGGGCCTCACTGCTGAGGCATACAATGACAACAGATGGAGACCTAGCGCCCTCTGCACTGCAAAGAACTCACTCTTCTTGTTCTCCAAACAAGGCCCACATAGAGTTGTCAGAGTGCCTAACTAATCCTGTTGCCATCTTTTCATTTTAAAGCCTTCCAAATTTTCCCCAATTAGATTTTCCACAGTGAGGGTAACAAACTGGCCACAAAAACCTTATTATTGGTTATTTGCAGCCTGTAATCCCCATGGCGTTAACTACCCTCTACCAGAAAACCTGATATGCTTTGTGCTGCTTTCTAATGACCGACTATTCACAGATCTCAAACGAGTGTAGTAAGGAGCTACCACAGATCCCAAGGCGGTACATGGGTGTATCTGAACCTGAATTACTGTCTGAAGCAAAGACAAACCTTCAAAGAGAAGACTGCTCTTGTCATCTTGTAATCCTCCTGGTTTACATAAGCTTTTCTTCTTGGAGTTGATCCACAGCTTTTCACAAGCCCCAGATTCCTATAACCTTGCTTAATGGACACCTGGAATGAGACTCACAGCCCAACAGCCTAAAACTAAACTGAAAATACAGGGAAACTAGCACAGAAGTCTCTCTCCCAAGGGACAGCTGCTGAGTCAAACTCCAGCTCTTCAGTCAGTAAAATTTCCCCTCCTCCTCCCAAGATACGGGAAGTGGCAGCAATTTTTTGTCTATTACAACTTAACACTATTTGAACATAGAATTAAACTGAAACTCTGAACAAACCCAGAGAGCACTGAAATTGTACATTCACCAACACTGCTTAGCCTCTCCCTTTCTATGCTCTTCACCCCACAATTTGTGTCAAAACGGGTAAGACTGGCCATAAGCTAAACGGGTCAGGATGCCAAAACTAACCTGACAGTACTCAGTGGAAAAATCTGTGGTTTCGGACATTGCCCTCCTTGCTCTGGCCCATCCACATCCATCCTCCCTCATATGAGCATGAAGAAGGGTTAAGGGTTTATTATAGCCTTTTTAAACATCTATAGAAAAAAGCAAGCAGTTTAATGAAGTCTATAACTGTCCTAGCCCAGCAGCAAGACTGGGTTTCAGCTGGGTCATGGGCTGACACTGCACAGCCAAATCCAACAGATTAAAGTGCCCACTGAATGCTCTGTGTGCATGACGGCAGCTGAGAAGGGAACTGCTTCACTCCTGCTCTGAGTTCAAAGCTGATTTCAAAGGTATTTTAGTTCATCTTCTTGCGCTTCCGCTGGCCTCCTGATGCCTTTTGCACGGGCAAAGGGAGAGAGAGAGTGCCCAGCTTGTGGTTCTGGTCAGCCTCAAGTCCGGGCAGCCCCTTTGCTTTGGAGACCTTCAACCGCATGGCCTTCGCTATGTCCATCATCCTGGAAAATATCAGAGAAACACTATGTCAGCGGGGTGGATACACCTTGCATGGCAGGCATGGTGCAAAAGAGCAATGGTCTTTTCCCTCCTGGTAGAAGCCAGGAGGCAGCAGTGAGCAGGGTGTCTTCTCTGGGTCTCAGAAACACCATGGTGACAGAAGCTTGAGGTATTCAGATAAAGGCTATGGGGTGGAGCCTTGCTGTAGTGGCTAGAACCTTACTGACCTGAGCACAAGCAGGAGAGGGTTATAAACCCATATTGTCTTACTCAATGGCCAGCTAACTTTTAAAAAATGCTGCTCTCCGTTTCCAAAGGGAGGTCAGCAGGCCTGGATCCCCAGCATGTGTGTTCTTCAAATGCAAATACTTCCCAAGGCACTCAACTCCTGCGCATGGTATGATGGAGGAAACGCAGTACAGCTCAAGAGCAACTCCTCTTAGCTGCTGCAGTTCAGCATCCCTGGCTGTAAGTAGAGGAGCTTGGCTGAGATATGTAATGAGAAGAGTTTGGGCAAGAGAGTGCAGACCAGAACACACCTGGAGGCCTGTCAGAGAAAACAAAGCACCTCTGAAAACAGCGTGCAGGGACATAAGTGTTCTGTCCTTCCTTCTGGTCCTGAGAACATACAAGTCAGAGAATCCTCCCATCTGACTTTACATCCTTGAAATACAAAAGGATTCACATAGAAGAGATCTCTGGTGTTCTTTGATCAAACGTCTCATTCCAACCAGGCATTACCCCAAAGCTACATCAGATGGCTCAGGGACTTGTGTCACGCTTCAATTTGTTCAGTAGGTCCCAGCCTCCTCCAGCCTGCTCACACCAGTATAGGTTGCCCAGCGCTCCCAGCCCCAATACAGTACTTAAAAGCAAATCATGCATGTTAATCCCCCAAAACAGCATGGCTTATTTCCAAACAGCTTGCTTAAAAAAAAATGATGGAAACCAACAAATGGTGCTATTAAACCCACTATTCCTCATCAAGGAGCAAAGATCAGAATTGGAGGCAAAACCAGGATTCATTGCATCAGTGCTGATCACAGAGCACCCACACCCAAGAGTTGACTAACAGCTCAGATAACTTCCGGTTATCATAGCAGCTTCACATTACATCCCTCAGCCAGAAACCACAGGATACTCCCAGCAACAAAATCTTGCAGATAGAAATGTCTTTCTCATAGCAATAGGGAAGGGCTGCACTAAGCAGCATCACCTCTCACAATCCCACTGGGAAGGACTAATGTCGTTGCACTAGGAAGCGCACCTCCTCAGAATCATCACCACCCACAGAACAGGATGGGGAAGGAAAGAGATACTAATAAGCACAGCTGAACTCCAACTGCCAATAGGGCAACCTGATCGATTCTGAGATCGTATTAGTAAGCTGTCTGCTGAGCTAATGTCTGCTTGTCGGGAGATGTCCCGGAAAGCTCACTAGATCATTCCATTAGCTCTGATCAATCCCTGATTTACTCTGCAGGAGCAAGAGACATGGTACAGTGCAACCAGTGGAAGAATTCTCACAGGGCCAAGGGAGCCTGGGACTGTGCATCGATTGACATCTACTGGTAAAGACGTCTCTTACAGCCGCAAAATATGCTAGATGCAAAACACTTGGCGGAAGCATATTTATTTTTTTCATGACAAATTAAAGGCCAGAGAGAAACTTCCAGATAAAGATAACACAACAAGAGTTGTCTGCCTGGAAGCTTGTACTGCAAGCTGTTTTCCATGCCTTCATCTTCACTCACCCTGAGTTGGCAAATCCTCATCTCAAATACTATAGCCAGGAGCTCTGTCTACGACTCCTCCCCACCCTCCCACCACGATGCTTTGTAGAAAATCACCCAAACTCATCAGAATTTGAGAAATAAAACAATCTTATTGGTGCCAAGCCTAGGGTGGTGAAACTTCAGGAGCCTGGGATTACTCCATGTAAATACAAAATACATGCTCACAATCTAATTTTGAGACAAAAAAAAAAAACTTTCTAGTCTTCCTGTTGCAGAGAGTTGCAAATCTGCAATTGTACCCAGACTGGAACCTAGCGGCAGAGCTCTAGGGCACAGTGCAGATGAAGATGGAAAGCAATGTTACTCGTCATGCAAGAGAGGGGGATGGAAGACAGCAGACAGGTCCTGTGCTAGAATCTGCCCCATTTCGGTGCTGTCTGCATCATCAGTCTCCTTTTCTGCGAAACAGCTGAAGAGCCTCATGATGCACCTGAGAACCATCTTGTGACAAGTGGCACTTCAAAGTTTGAGATGTAAAACCACCTTTCTTTACAAGCAGCAGGGCTTCAAAATACAGCTTCAACACACTCTCGTAACAGAGAGAGGCTGCTTAGACAAGGGGGAGTGGTGGCAGGTGTCACTGTTACGCCAGAATCTGAGGTAGGCTCCAGAGTCTATCCCCTAGACCCTCTTTGTACAAGGGCTGTAGCATATCCCAGCAGATACAAATAAATGCAATGGCTCACCTGCTTTCTTGCAGTTTCATGTCATTCTGCAGGACAGTAAGGTCTATTTGGAAGTTGTTAATGTGCAGAGCCAATGCGATGACGTATGCTGTGATTTTAGCCTTCATTGATGCAGAGATTAAATTCTGGACACTGAATGCCAAGAGAAAGAAGACATGAAGAACACGCGCTTCAGTGAACCCAAAATACAAACCCCCAACAGAACTGGAGTCCCAGTTGGACTGACTTTTCCTACACACCTGAAAAGAGCTGAATGCAATAGATATCTCTGATCACAGGGCCTGACAGACTTTGCTCTCCTCACATAACCCTCTATGTTTTGTTCAAAAGCGCAGGATTCTGGGGTCATTAATCACCGCATGGCCTTGACAAATGACATCTCAAGCTCTGTGGCGCATTGGTCCCTTGTAAGAGGAGAGTGAAATGAAGCTGATTTGAGGGTATTCTAGTATAACTGCTAGAAGCTCTTCAAATATACCATCTACATACAGCAGATTCCTGGCTGATAATCCTATAAAAGCTTTTACTGAGTGTTCACTGCACTGTCCACAGACCACCACAGGTCATAACCCACTGTTTTATAGTGAAAATTAGAAGGGCCAGAAGTGCTAAGTGAGACAAGGTACTGCAGTTTCACATTTTAGAAGGAAGTACATGCTGAGAGTTCCTGATAACGTCTCCATGGCTCTTCCAGCTGAACTCTGCTGTATCTCAGCTTCAAGAACATCAAAATAAAAGCAGTTCCTCACCTGCCATTGTTGTAGGTCAGTGAAGTGAAATTCTTCATGAGTTTCCTGCTAATGATGTGTGGACATTCAGGGCCCATTGGATCTAGGGCAGAAAGGCATTTTGCAATGAAATGAGATATTCAGACTCTTCATCACACAGGCTATCTGCAGTCATCCTAATGAGATATTTATTACTACAGCGTTTATTACTTCTTCCTAGCAATATAAGAAAAGTAAAAGGAATCTGGGCACTTGATTTCTAGGTCTCCTCAACTTTTAGAGCAGACAGAGGCTCCTAACAGCCTCCTATCAGCTTTTTTTCTCTGCAGGTGGGACCACCCACCTCAGTATTAGAAAATCTGAAATAAACTTGTGCCATGTACACCTATGCATGCTACTTTTAATAAATTATTTAGCTACAGTCCTGTCAGGATAGATTATTAGAACTGAAACAACATTAACAAATTCCTATTACTGCCTAGACCAGCCAGTTCCACTTCTAATTCAAGCCTCTGACTAACTCCTACACAGCGACTCCTGTGTCTTCAGCAATGCAGGAGGATGTTTACAGGCGGACTTGTCATTCCCCTCCCCTCCCCCCTTGAAAATGCTAACAAACATTTTCAGCACTGACAAGGACACTCAGAGGCACAATTTCTGTGCAAGATGGCAAGTCCTGAAAATCTCAAATGAAATATCTTCCACGGTGTTTTCTGAGAATTCCTATTACAAAGTCCCAGCAAGTAGCTGAGAAGGGGAGAGGGAAGATTTCCACTAGCGTCTTACGCTTCTTCTTGATCACTTTCATGAAGCTGAACTTAATAAGGATGTCCAGGAACCAGAGGCATCGGGCTTTGTGATCCCTGCTCTTCTCATCAAGAGGCAGGAACTTCAGCTCCTCTAGAACAAAGGAGCAATGGCTGAAGGGGAGAGAGGGGCAGCATGAGGATCACAGAACAGGAAGAAGAGTTCCCAGGACTTTGACAGAGCAAAGCCCAGGAGGCAGCTTTATGGGCACACGTTCCTGTCAATGCCCACCACGTTTAACCCAGCCCTTTTCGGTGTGCAGCCTCTCAGACCGCACCAGGACGTAACACACTGTTCACTGATCGTCTGTCTCAGCTTGTCAAGCAAATTTCTGGTCAGTACTTGGCTGAGACAGTGTCCAGAAACCATGCTAAGAACAGCTGTGCGCTCCCTCTTCTAGGCAGCTACCTCCACATCCAGTTTTGAATTTTCTCCCCCTCCTCCCCTGTCATCAATTCCCCACAGGGCAGCCATGTTGCTGTACACACACCTTCCTCTGTCATAAAGCTACAAACACTTTGGGGAACGTGGGCTGCCCAAAGGCAAGTGCTGCTCAGCCAGGCTTGACAAATGTCCTCTGTCTGCACTGAGAAGATCACCTAGGTACAGCAGAGCAAGTAGCGGTATTCATCCTGCCCCTCAAAAAACTAAAGCCTCCCTGGGCCAACCTTGACTATTAGAAGCCTGTCTGCAGCATTACCTTTTCTCTTCTGTTTTCCTAATGATTTCCTCTGGAGTGATGTTAATGAAGACTGCTGCTGGAACCTGCAACGCTTCGTACTCTGCTGGGGAGAGAACTGGAAGGATTTTAAAGAAAACAACAAGTGTGCCACTGCGCTCTTTCCTCGTGTGAACAGCCCACCGTGACCTATGCTTTATTCACTCTCGCCTAGGACATGTGGTGCTGGGAGGGAGGCGAGTAAACTATAAATAAGTAGGACATAACCACAGCACTGGAAGGATGGCCAAGGACAAAGCTTTCTAAAGCACTGTGGCTCTGTCACCAAGTCTCTCTCCTACGTTTCTGAGTTCCTTACTATTCCTAGCTGAAATGCTTCCAACAGGCAGGGACAGAATCCTCCTCTCTGAAAAAAGGAGGAAGGATGTGAGACTTGCCGGCCTACAGCCCCAGCACGGCACTTCTCTGCTCTCAGCTTTTGGGAGAAGGCTCTCATCAGGGAGAAGGCTCAGCTCTGCTGTCACATGCCTGACAGTACTCACTAGCACCCGACAGACCACTGACACCAAGGCTTACAGGTGTGGGAAACCACACTTGGCCACAGAAAAAGATACTGTCCTCAAACTTGTAGACATTTTCTGGCTTGTCAGCATCTTCATTACATGGAGGCAGGAAGATGGAGATGTTCTGCATATCATCTTGGGCCACATCCTGGATCAAAGCTTCAGGGGAAAGGAAGAAAGAAGAGAGCGTTTGAATCACACAGATAAGAGCATCGGGAACATGACTACAAAGCAAATGCTTTCTTTAAACGTAGTCTACGCAGTGGGGTGCTTGGGTGAACACTAGTCTAGTTATAGCTGGAAGCAGAAGCCAAATTGCACTTTTAGACGTTTATCTGACCCTTGGAAAGGTACTAAGGAAAGGCCACAGCTCTTCCTCGTTCTGTTTCCTTACTGCCACGCAGAGAGCATTCCACTAAGCGCTGGTTGAGAACTTATGATACGCACATCAATGCATTCAGCATGCTGGGTTTTACACCGGCGTCATCGCTTCTATCAAAAACGTCCTGCTCCTTGAGAACAAGAAATAAAACTGAAAACTTCAGGAAAGAAGTACATCAAGACAAATTGGTTTCTGCTGCTGCATCCTGCAGGGTGGGCAGGGGAACATGGTTTGGGTGCTCTTGTTTCCATGGGGCATCCATTTGGCATAGGGCAACTCTCGGAGGAAAGCCAATACCCAAGCTGGAACACAAAGGATGGGAGTTCTCTCATCTCCATAAGAACTGACTGGTTTTATAGTCAGCAGAGGTCTCTCCCATTCATAGTCAAAGAAATTTAGATTTGCAGAAGGGATGGTAGAAGAGAGCTCTGGAGGTTTCCAGCCCAACCCCCCGCTCAGAATAGGACCGTCCCCAGCATTAGATCAGCGCAGCACTGGCTTTGTCCCACCAAGGCTTGGAAGTCCCCAGGGACGTAGATCTCAGCACCTCCGTGTGACGGGTCCCAGGGCTGCACAGTCCTTGGGGGCAAAGAGGTTCCCCCAATGCCTGATCTGCACTTTCCAAACTGCCACTTGTGCTGTTGCTGTACTGCCTGCCTAGCGAGGCCTTAGAAAACGAACTTTCCCCACAGCAGTGGCAATAACTAATGCCGTGGCAGAGATCTCTCTGCTGCAGATTCCTCCATAGCAAAGGACCAGGCCCTTCAGCTTCGCACAACAGCACTGGAGGTGGCTGTGACCTGGCTTGGGGCATGGACCACTTTCCATACACATGCTGCTGTGAAATCAGGTTGCAGTTCACCTCACCGAAAGTGTCTCGTTTTAGGCCAGGTGAATTTGCTGCCTTCATTCCAGTAAGCAGACATCCACGGACTCCCAAATGAGCTCCCAAAAACGTGTGGAGACACAGATGCCACAGGGACCTTCCTTTAGTCAGGCAGCTCTCCCATTCACTTTAACAGGACCAGAAGCAAGAAGTGCTTGGAGAGATCTGTACGTTCCTCAGCATGTGCCCTTCTTACCTGTCCAACCAACTGCTTCCTTGCTCGCTTCAAGGAAAAACACTTTCTCCTTCCCACCGCTTCTAGTCTATACTTGGGAAGACACTGACAGAAAGAGGTATTTCTGACTGCCTATGTTACGTCTGCTTCTTACCTGTTATTCCTTTTGCATCTATAATGTTTGCTGCCGCTTTTGTCACTGCCGTATTCAGGATGTCACTGCCCACTGCATTCATTCGTCGAGAGCTCAGGGCTCGCTTCTGCTTGCTGGTACCAAAGGCCTCAATACATAAATCCATCTGTGTGGGAGAGAGATGCAAACTACAGGAAACTGCTGAACTCAAGACACTCTGCATGTAAGGGTAAAACTCAGCTAACTATCACCACGTGGCCCCATAATCACATTCTCTAAGACAACTTTAAGTAGATCACTGGATACAGATCAGAGCAAGCACTGATCTGTAAGGGGACAGAAATTTCTGAAGCTGTATACAAGGCTAAGACAATTATAAAAATACGGCTAAGTGAGGCAATAATTATGTGCTGTCTCACAGATCTTCAATGCATACAGAAAGCGCTGAACCTACACAGGTTTACGCTGCGGTGGCAAACTAAACATATGAATCTCCGACAAATATCTGCCATTGTTAGCTGGATAACCACACTAATATAGGATATGAGGTTTCAACTTTACCTTCTCCCTGTAGGACTTATTCTGATAATCCTCTGTGTCATCAGCTACTAAGTTATCTACAAAAAAACCAAAAATTAGTATGCTTAGCTTGCAGCAACCAGGAAAACACCTGTGTTCGGTAGTCCTCCTGCTCCAATCCATTATAGGAAGACTTGGTACATCATGACTTCTCCAGCTAAAAGAACACAAAAAATATAAAACTCTAGGAAGTTGGAATAAAGAAGAAGAACTTGTGACCAATTTGTGCTGTAAAGTGTATGGGCATACACCAATGGATTGCAGTAATACCCAGGTCCTGTGGCACACGAAAGAAATGAGCTCCCCAAGGCCCACGACCTTACCCTTTGGGTTATCCTTTTGGGTCATATACTAGAAGACAGTTCTGCTGATGAAAAGTTGCTCTATTTTTCAGCGATTCAGTCCCTAGACGTGACTATTTTGAGGCTTCCTTCAGCAGGGCGTACCTGGACAGGTCTGCACTTATTCTGAGCAGAAACAACTCTGTTATCAACTCTGGTACTTCCACCCTCCCTCCCATAATGCTTCCTGTTTCGTTTCCATCCTAAGTTTCAGCTGCATTCAGACGCAACCTTGCTCTCCTCTCCCTTATTTTCTACATCCTGCAGCACCTCAGGAGGAGTGTGCATGTATTCTCCTTCCTCCCTCCTGCATTCTAATGTTAGCAGTCAGAAATGAACAAGAAGCAGGAGCCAGGAAAGGAGGGGGGAAGCAGAGACCGCTGCTGCCAGCGGCCAAGCAATCAACAGCTGAACGCGTGCAGAGTACTACTGCACTGTGACTTTGGTGCTGGAGTTAAACACAGTATTTTCCTACCTGACAACAAGGGCTGCATGTTGAATAATTCAGCATTATAGACTTCCATTTGCCCAGAGTCCTTGTCTAGCACACCAACAAAATACCTGGGGAGAACACAGGAGGAGACTATTAGTGAGAGATAGTCCAGTGCGACGTTATTACAATAATATGGTGCAAAGCTGCGTGTATTCCCCATCCCTTGCCAATTTTTCTACCTTGCAAACACTGATTTTCCAAACACACGCAGAATTTCATAGTAAAACAAGTTCCCTCCAAGGCACATTTACATAAAGTCTTGTTGCTACATGTAAAAGTGGAAGTCCTAAGACAACGAAATTAGCTCCAAGATGCACAGAATGCAGTATCCATGTCCGAGTGCTGGTTTCTATTCTCTTCCGTCTCTTTTGACGTGTCATAGTGCTTGCTTTCTCAGTCCTTCTATGTAGTTCCTTCTGTTTCTCAAACTTGGGGTTCCCTGGGGCCACGTCTCTGCTTAGGAAGAACCACTTTGAGTCTAAGTCCTCAGAGTTTCACAGAAATGTGACTTTGCTGTCTCTAAAATGGGATCATTTATCTCAGATAAATTCCTTTTCACCCTACATTTCACAGAATCACAGAATGGTTGGGGTTGGAAGGGACCTCTGGAGATCACTTGGTCCAATCCCCCCTGCTCAAGCAGGGTCACCTAGAGCAGGCTGTTCAGGACCATGCCCAGTTGAGGTTTGAGTATATCCAAGGAGGGAGACTTCACAACCTCTCCGGGCAACGTGTTCCAGTGTTTGACCACCCTCACAGTAAATACATGTTTTCTTACGTTCAGGCAGAATCTCTTGTGTTTCAAATTTGTGCCCATTGCATCCTGTCACTGGGTGCCACTGAAAAGAAGCCTGGCCCCACGTTTCTTTTTTTTTTTTTTTCCCCCCTCCAAGTTTTCCCACTCCATCCTTGTGCTTGGACCTCTTTCCTCCTCTGCATGCATGAGGGGTTTCTCCAGTGGATCCATTCCCAGAGTCCCACAGCAGAGGAGAGAAGTTGGGAGACTAACAAGCCAACCTAGATGCAGATATCTGTCCAACTTCAGGTACTAGTGTTGCACTAGGTGGGCACAGGCCTCAGGATCTCCACAACCACATGCAAGCATCAGTTAAGTCATTAGAACCAGCTCTTAATCATGTGAAGTCTTCAGAGCTAAGAGGTCTAAATCTGTACAAAAACAGCATAGCATCAGTACTTGTAGCATAAGTGTTCATTAAACTAAACGTAACCCTCCAAACTCGAGAAGAAAATCCTCTTGGAGCCTTGTTTCAGCTACAGTATCTTAAAATAACAGCTGTTAAAACTGAAGACCCAGCTTTCACGGCTTCACTTCTCAGAGAAAAACAAAGACACAGGGATCAGCATCTCTTGAAAGGCTGTTTACAGAAGTAAGCCTAACTGCTTTTAAAAGAATTACTCAGAACCTAAGAGCACCAGGACACTGAAGTCTGAAAGCACCTCCTGCTGCTGACAGTTTTACACAACTGTTTGCTCTTCACTCTCTCTCCGCACCCGTTCTTTAACTAATAAGACATGACCAGGTCAGTGCAGTCACACTACAGGAGAGATACCGGCTACATCAGCAAACAGGATAAAACAACTGGAGCAAATCTGTGGAGCAGAGCACTTGGGACTATGGATCCAACATGCATAATACACGTTTCAGGTTTCTGTAGTTAGTAGAAGCAGAAACAGACACTAAAAGGAGAGAAAAAAAAGCAGCACCTTTGGGTATGCCCAAAGGCAAGACAAGATGGGTACGCCAACACAAGGCAAGATTCCGCCACCAGGTCCCTGCCACAGGTTTGCCCGCAGCCCATACCTGCATAGGGAATTACATTTCATAACTCCACTGCCAAAGTTATTCCCCACATATGAAAGCCTTTCAGTTTCCGAGACCTGAAAAACACAGGAAAAATTACCTTAACGGGCGGCCATCTGTCTGCGACTAACCTCTATATCCATTTTATTTTCCCAAGTACCACAAAGCTCTGCATTCCCAGGCATCAGATGCTAGTCATGTGTAGATAAAGTGCATTTTGTCTTCTTTGGGAGCATTTTGCATCAGGTCAAAGTCTTTAAAAGAAAGACACTTCTGAAGCTGCAAGTACTTGTTCTTTCTTGGCCTACTTGTTCTATCAAGCAGCCAGAAGACAAAGAATCATTAAAAGGAAATCATGAGACTCATACTTTAAATTAATAGTTCATGGCGGTAACAAACCCACACGTCACAACAATTAAAATACTTGGCTGGGTTGACAACCATGCTTCAATCCAGAAGCAATGGCCAAAAGTTTCCGTGTAACTGTGAATGAGCCATTTAAAGATTTAATGTTGCCAGGTGACCGTAACTGACTGATAAAGAGCAAGCACTATGAGGTAGCACCTAAATACATTTTAAACGCCTGTGCCTCTACTGTATGAAATCCTTCTCCTGAGGATTTGGGCTGAAAACCACCACATATTCCTTGAGTGAGCCATGCATGTAAACAGCTGTAAAACGTCACAAGAGCAGTCAAAAGCACCTTCTGACCTGGAACTCTGCTTTCTCTTCAATGAAAGAAAGAAAAAATTCCTTAAAATGTAATCTAATCAAAAAAAGACTTTGGCAAAGAATTTGGATTCATTGTGTAAACACAACGAAACCAGGAAACAATGTGCAGACTTTGTACTTGCATGGACCTGGTTATCTTTTAAGTAGCAGCTTTTAATTTTCACGCATTACTTCTTTTATTAGCTGGGTTACTAGAGTAAATCAAGCACATGCAACATCAGTATATCAGCATGAGCTTCAGAATACACCACTGTGTATCAATCAAAACTATTTAATTAAGCAGGTATTCAGTTTTGACTGAAAGGTTACTAACTCTCATTTGTCACTATCAGTATAATATACTATACTGTGTTTTTCAGGTTCCTTTCCATTCCAAAAGTCACAGCCCAATAATGCTATGTTTGAAAGAGCACGAGGCTTGTTTCATTCACTTGTCTCATCCTGAAATGCTCAAAAGAGGACAGTTAATGCTTTGAGACCTTGGCAGCATACCAATATTTGGTACTACCTCCCTGCAGTACTGTTGACATCTTGTGGCTTGTTAGAGAAACTATAAACTGCGTTTGCTGGGAACTTCACTCACCAGAACTTCACAGTAAGAAAACAAGTATCTATCCCCTTCTCACCCTCAAGCAGAGCTATCTTGCACATTAAACTTTGCCCTACCCTACCTCCACCACCATCACTCCTCTCTCTACTACAATGGGAGCCAATATCAGAACTAGAACTGCCCAGAAATCCCTAACATATATCAGGACATAGAGATTTTTTGGAAAAATTGGAAGGAAGGGCTCAAAATCTGATCACTTTTAAAAGAGTCTACAAAATAAAAGTCCTTACTGATTTTCAGAGGCTCATTCACTGTATTTGTATTTGCAAAAGCAAATAGGAAACCAAGAAATGCTTTGAAGAGAGGGAGAGAGGTGCCTTAAATATTAGACAACACTTTTTATCTTACCAGGGTTTCTAGTTCTTATTTGTGGAAGCTGTCAGCACCAGAGCCTTGAGGAAAATGGTGTAAAAAATATACCCAAACCTCAAAATATGCAGAGATGGGATTACTTATGCTTCCTAGGCCAGGTGTCAGGTGGAATCTCACCCTGATCCCTAACAGCTGAACAGGAGCTTGGATGCAGAAGGAGGCAGTTTGGGGACTCTTCTGATACACAACTCATTGCTGCTAACATGTAAGTTATTATATAGAAGCTAAAATGTATTAAGTGGGTAATTTTTAGAACTATAGTTGTTACAACAGTAAGTTTAAAAACGTACATATACAGAAACACGTATGTTTCCAAATTTTCCCGGCGACTCCTCTGGGCAAAACCGCCAAAGCTTACAAAGGCCAGGCGCTAGTTAAAAAAGGGTGACCCGGGATGCGGCCGCAGCACTTACCAGGATCCTCCGGTGCCTCTTCCGGGGGTTGGCGCTGTCTCTATCCCGGTACACGGTGAAGCGCATGTCGTCGGCCTCCCGCAGCCTCCCGTTGGAGAACTGGACTGCGGGGCGGACCGGGGGACTGGCGTGAGGCAC